GGGGGGGGGGGGGGGGGCTCACTCAAGATTTGTTGTCAAGGAGGTGAAGCAAGCAGTCAACCTCTCCGGTGGGGTCGTCGCCTGCTCTCCTGGAACGGCCCCACTCCCAGTCCCAGCGAGGTGCCTCCTCGCCGCCCCCCCTAGTCACTTTTCACAGCCCTAAAGAACTTAAGAGGGATACCCCGCGCACACCCCACCTTCAGCGGCTCCTCGCCACTGCGGCCCTGCTCAGCGCCCCAAACCCCAGGCCCGCCCGTCAGCCCCACCTCTCGCGCGTTCTCCTGGCCCACGAGCCCCGAGGCCGCCTGCTTGGCCAAGCCGCTCTCGTCCAGCCCCAGCCCTTTCACGTGGCTGTGGGAGGCGATGCGCTGCGTCTTCGTGGTGCTCTTCACCTCCTCAATCTTCATGTTGCACACGTCCGGAGCTAAGACCACCGTGGAAAACCAGGAGCGAGAAACCCACGCGCGGGACCCAGGTTACCACGCGGCCGTTACTAGGCAGTTTGTCAGGGCCCGCCTTGTTCGGCGTCCTATTGGCGGAGGCGGAAACGCCTCCGCTGTCCATTGGTTTATGGGTGGTTCCGCCCACCCACTTCCGGCTGTGTTCAGGGGTTAGCGTTCCCCGCAGCAGGTGCCTGGGCCGGGCCAGGCCGGGCCGGGATGGGGCGTGGGGGGACAGGGTGGTAATCGCGCAGTCCTGTGCTTTGCGCGTTGGCCGGTCATATCCTTCAGCGAAGCTGGAGTTATTACCTCCGTGTTGGAGTTGCTGAAACAAGCGTAGAACCTAAGCTTTGACTTTTGCTTACTCAGTTTTCTGACTCCCAAGCCTTCGTATCTCCCTGGGGAGGCCCAGCCCAGCCTGCCAATCACTCCCACCCTGGAACCCTGGCACTGCTCCAGGGAACGGGGTCCTCTTCTTCTCCTCGCCTCCACCATCTCTTTTTATTTAAATTAAGCTGGTTGTAAATAACATTTATGTTTCCAAAACTCTACAACCCTGTAAGACAGCATAATTTCTAATACAGATAAAGACACAGGCTAAAAGAGGTTCAACTGTTGGCTTCTACGGAAGGGCACCAGCTGTTAGACTGGTGGGGTCAGACCAGACCTGGGTTCCGCAACCTCAGTACTTGAGTTCTGGCCAGGAAAGAATTCATAGTCAAGACTCAAACTAAAAGAGCACATTATTTATAAAATCACAGAGGTGGAAGAAGTAATTCATAGAAGAAATAGGCTTGGGAAACAAGTTATAGAGGCAAAGGGAAGGCCCTTGGAGCTTAGAAGTGAGAGAGGTAAAGTGAAAGACCTGGGGAGATAAGGAGGAAGTTGAGGAAGGGAAAGGCCTGTCCCTGCTCCTTGCTCCCTGGAACAGCCTAGAGTGCCAGGGAAGATATGAGGTGATAATTCCTGGGCCAAATCTTGATGAATGGGTAAGACTTCCTCAGAAGCAAATGGTATGTCACCATTTTAAAGATGAGTAAACTGAGGTCCAGAGAAAGGGAGGGACCTGCCCAGAGCTTAGAACAGCTTGTGTTAGGGTTGAGACAGACCTGATGTCAAATCCAGCTGCAGTGATTCCTGACTCACATCTCCTTGTACTTCTCCATTATAACTTTTGAATCTAAGTTTCTAATTATTTGCAAGATTATTGGATGAATGTTTGTCTCTCCCACTAAACTGCACGCATTATGAGAGTGTAGACCACATTTGTGGTGTTCATCATTTTAACTCCAGTGCCTGGCACACAGCCTGGCTCACAAATGTTTTTTTTTCTGGCTCACAATTAAGGATTCTTATGAATTCAAGTAAGGTTCTACTCCTTCATATATACATTTGAAGTCATGCAGTTTTGCTGCATGTATTTTACACACTGGGTATTATGGGACTTAGTAATGGTTTCTGTCAGTGAATAGAACCTTTGGCATTTTTAGAGCCTGAAAAAGCAGAAGCAAGGCCTTGGAAAGCTGAGGTGATTATTGGTGGCTTATGATCCATCAACCCTATGGTTATCACCTCTAGGCCTGCCCAGAAGGTCACTTAACATTTCACTGACTTATTTCTGGTAATGCCCATAAGTGAATAGCAATTCCTTTCACCCTGTGGAGAAGGGAAACTTTCTCCCAACTAGTAGTCAAAATGAGGCACTCTGTGGAACTAACTTCTTTATGTACTGTCCAGTTAGGAGAGAAGACCACTTTTACATTTATTATTTTAAGCCTCAAACTTTGGCACAAAGTAAAGAGAAAGCTTTCCTTTCAGCCTAATACAGGGGTAGAAGGATAAGGACTTTGGAGCTCAGAAGAATCATAAGAGCACTTGGTCCAGTGGTTTTCCAACCACATTCCCTAGAGTTGTAGAATCCTTTCGTGGCCAGTATGAGTGGGGAGGGGAAAAGCTGAGAGTATAGGCTACCAATTCCATGCCCCTACCTCCCCTTCTACCAAAGCTGTTGCATTTTTTTACTGCTAAAGAACAGTTCGAAAATCACTGATCTGGCTTAGCATTCTCATTTTATAGGTAAGGAACTCAGGCCCTGAAAGGGGATGGAATTTGTCCAACAACACAAATTGATCAATTGCCTGACAGTCCCAGACCCCAGATCCCATGTTCAAAGAAGCTGGACCTGGTTGCAGAGCCAGACAGTGCCTTTTATTTGAACAGAGGTCTATGTGATGGGCCAGTGTCTGAGATACATAAGATGAATAAAGGGCAGGTGAGGCCCACAGTAGCAGACATGGGTTATTTTGCCTACCCAGAATCCAACTGACTTCCCCTGGCTCTCATCACTCTGATTTTTTTAGAGAACCACCCTTCTTTGACTTTGAGTCCAAGTGATATGGATGGGTTGACTCCACCACCTAGGACTGTTTCAGGGATGGATACAGAACCTTGGCCTGGCCTATCAAAGTATCTCATCCTCCTGGAGATGGAGATTGAGACATGGGGACAGTCCAATGACAGTCCTGACACTTTTGTATTTTATATTTTTTATGTACTGGGACATGGGTTTCCAAGTGACCTTTGCTACTTCATGGGAAGACTCTGCCTGAAAATGACACCAACACAGAGGAGGAAAACTGATAGAGACTCCTGTTGAAATCCTTTACATTCCCTGATCCAACCTCTCCCTACTTGCAATGTAATATGGCACTAACACTGGGCTTAAAATGGTTTGAGTTAAGTTTTTATTTGTGGGTATTGAAAATCCATATTACTACAATGATACATATACAAGTAATTGTGTGGACTGCTACATTCCAGAATTGTGCTGTGTGAAAACTCCAGGACTGCCAAATCTCTCATTCTCTCACTCCCATGACCCTTAGTCTTTCACCTCCAATCCATCCACCCCTCTTTTCTGCAGTCCAGGTAAACTCATCCCAGCCACTTAGCTTCCAACACTTTCCTCCTGGACTTGACTTCTTTTGCACCTGACCTTTGAACCCACAAGCCTGGGTCAGGCCTACCTCTGCATTCTCCACTGACTCATGAAGGTCGCTGTGTATGTCAGTAAATAATTATTCAGTGGCTCCATAGAGCCATTACACTGTTATGGTCTCCAGCTTCAGCTGAACACTCATAGCTGTCCAATTAATAATTAAGTGTTATATTAGTTAGGATATTAATTCAGCTGCAATAACAGAGAGATACAAAAGAATAGTGAACTAAGCAAGATAGACATTACTTATTCTTACATAAAGTCCAAGCAGATACTCTACCTGGTGAGCTCTATAATTTATAAGGACCTGTCTGACCTTGTCTTGTTACTCTGCCATTCCCCACACATTCCTTCTATCCCATGGTCCAAGATGACTGCTTGAGCTTCCCCTAAAAGGCTGTGTTTGAACCAGCAAGAAGGAGAAAAAGGGGAAGAGAGGGTATGCTCCTTCCCTTAAACCTTGACCTCAAGTTGCACCATCATTTCTACTTATATCCCAATGGTCAGACTTAATCAAATAGTAGTAATGGAGTCTGGGAAATGTAGTCTTTCGCTGGAATGTGCCCCACTGAAATTTCTATTCCTGTGTTAAAAAGGGGAGAAGATAGATTGGGAAACAAGTCTCATTCTTCACCCTGAGCTTCCATTTGCCAAGAACTGCTGGGTTATTCTTGTATACTGATTTAAAGACAGACATGATCTTCCTCCTAGTCAAGGTAACCCTACTAACTGGGTTTCAGATAACAATCTGGGCCCTACTCCATCTCTCAGAGGCCTCACTCCACCCATTACCCTCCTTTTCCTGTATTTCCATCTATTCTCCCTGATAATTTCCCACAGGATATAAACATACTCAGTCTTTTCCACCTTAAAACACACATTATATTCAATGATGAAAATTGAATTTTTTCCCCCTAAGATTAGGAACAAGATAAGGATGCTTGCTTTTGTCACTACTATTCAACATAGTATTGGAAGTTTTAGCCAGAGCATTTAGGCAAGAAAAAATATAAAATAAAATAAAGGTACTCAAATCGGAAAGCAACAAGTCAAACTAGCTCTATTCTTAGATAACATAATTTAACATATAGAACACACACACATACAACTGTTAGGGCTAGTAAATTCAGCCAAGTTGCAGAATACAAAATCAACACACAAAAATCAGGATGTAAACATAATCTTTCCATTTTAAAACACACACTGATGGCTTTGGCAGAAACAGACAAACTCATCCTAAAATTCATGTGAAACTTTAAGGGACACCAAATAGCCAAACAATCTTTTTTTTTTTTTTTTTTTTAAATATGTCTTTATTGATTTCAGAGAGAGGAAAGGAGAGGGAGAGAGATAGAAACATCAATGATGAGAGAGTCATTGACTGAGCCCACAACTGGGCATGTGCCCTGATCAGGAACTGAACCCCGATCGCCTGGATCCTAGGTCGACGCTCAACCGCTGAGCCACGCCCGGCCGGGCGCCAAACAATCTTATGAAAGAAAAATAAAGCTGGAAGTCTTTAACTTCCTAATTTCAAAACTTACTACAAATCTACAGTAATTAAAACAGTGTGGTACTAGCAGAAGGATAGATTTACGGACCAAGGGAATAGAATAGAGAGCCCAGAAATAAACCCTCACATACATGATCAAGGGTGCCAAGACCACTCAATGGGGAAAGGACAGTCTCTTCAACAAATGGTCTGGGAAAACTGAATATTCATATACAAAAGAAACAAGATGGACCTTTATCTTATACAATATACAAAAATCTATCTCAAATGGATCAAAAACCTACTTTTCAGGGCTTGACCTTTAAAACCCTTAAGAAAACATAGGGGTAAATCTTCATAGCCTTGGATTTGGCAATGGTTTCTTTAATATGGCACCAAAGGCATTGGCAACCACAAAAACAAACAAACAAACAAACAAAAAAACAGATAAGTTGTACTTCATCAAAGTTGAAAACTTTTGCACATCAAAGGACACTATCGAGAGAGTATAAAGACAACCCACACAGAATCACAGAAAATATTTGCAAATCATATATCTGATGAGGGATTAAGATCTAGGATATATAAAGAGCTCCTACACTTAAAACAAAAGCAACCCAATTTAAAAAATGAGCAA